CCAGGTCTCTTTCTCCTGCATTCGGAGCTGGATTCAGGAGATAATCACTTGGTGTCTTGCCAGGCCTGTTGTAAGCACTTAATATGTATTCCTTGATATTTCTGGGGCACTAAAGTTCTGGGGCAATAAAGCTTGGCCTGAATCTGCCTGGGCCCTGCACTTTCTCTCTGCTCACCGCCCCTTATCTCCACGATAAGGAGGATTGGCCTTATCAGGTCCCAGATAACAGCTGGGAAAGTCTGGAAGCTGAATGAAGCAAGGGTAGTTTCCTTTCTCCTCCTCTCCTTGTGCTTGCTCACCCTGACCCCAGGCACTCGGGACCTGCATCCAGCCCCAGGTGTTAGCAGAAGAGCACTGGCCTGGGAGTCCAGGCCCCGGGGGCCTGGTGTTGTTCCAATAACACTTTGGGTGTTTCTTGTTTTTCTCTTTATCTGCCCCCCTCTTTTTTTTTTCTTGATGAGTCTGATAAAGGGTTTATCAGGGTGTTCTTTGTTTTAAAAGGTTTTTCTCCAGTGCTCCCGAGGGCCAGGTGGGGTGTCCAGGGCCAGGTGGGGTGTCCGTGGGTGAGTGGCGGGGTCGGGGTCGGGGGTGGTGGCCTGGCAGGAGCCACAGACAGGCAGAGCACTGGGCTCTGAGATGACCTGATACAGGGCCCATCCAGGCGCCAGAGGGTGGCGTCCCCAGAGGAGGGGACTCCAGAAAGACCCCCTGGTGGCCGGACCTCGGCAGACAAAGAGGGCAGGGGGGAGGGGTGATGGGAAATAGGCCTGGAGGCCTCAGGAAGGATTCCAATTTTTTTGTTGGAGAAGAGATGAGAAGCCACCAAGTAGGCAAGTTTCATTGGTGGTATCCAAGCTATCTCTGCGCCCTCGAGATGTGCAATCAATGTGTGCACATGAGTAAGGAATGAGTCCTGCCTGGAAGGGCCTCAAGCAGACCCTCGCAGAGGCTCCTGGTTCTGTGAGTGATTCTTCTCTGCCTCTCCAGAGCCCAGGGAAGAGCTCGTGCTCATCCCACATGGCCCATGAGCCAAAACAAAAGGTGGGGGGGGGGGTTGGTTTTGTCAGGTGTCCTCGGGTTATGTTTGGCTTCAGATTTGACTCAGGCTCATCTCTGATTTCTGTTCCCCACATTCGGACTGATGAGCAGCTGGGCTGGGGCTTGGAGACTTTCCAGGCAGAGGGGAAGCCAGTGGGGAGTGTGATGATCCTGTGGTCACAGTGGGCCTCGGCCCTAGGGAAGGTAGAGAAGGAGAGAATGCAGGATTTCTGCTTCTGACACTGCCTGGGAGGGAGCGGGATTCCCTGGTAGCTGCTACATTTTAGGCTGGGTGGAATGCGGTGCTAAGTTTATTCCAGCACTGTCTGGTGAGTGCCCAGGCTGGCCCGATTGTTGTGACCTGGGGGGTGTCTGAGAACCATCTTGCCCTTGAACACCTGGCCTGGTGCGGTAACGTTCTGGATGTGTGTATGTATACATACGTATACGTATATAGGTACACATCTGTGAGACACATCTAAGAAGACAGTATTCTTAGAAGTACAGAGCCCGAGGGGTGAGGAAAGGCGAGCACTTTTCACCTCCCAATGCCCCGGAAGCGCACACGGACTGCCCCCACTTTTCAGGTGGGCAATCAGAGACCCGCCGAGTTCGTCATAGTGGGCTGATGTCTCGGAGCCCGTGGGGGTTTTGGTCCCATAGCTGTCTGCTAACGGAGCTGGGCTTTCTGCATGCCCCGCAAGTGGGGTCCGGGCTCCAGCCCACACCCCACCTCAGCGGGCCCCCTCCTGGCTATAGCTGATTGACTGCTTGCTGGTAGTATGCTGCTGCTGGAAACTTCCAGAGGGCCCCTGGGTACATGCCACTCCCGCTTTCCTGACTGGTGTGGAGGCTCTGTTCCTCCCCAACTCTAGGTTGTGGGGGGTGGTCGGTGTGGACTTGAATTTACGGGATAAACCTGTAGCTTTGTGTGATTGTCTCCCTGGCTCCTGAGAGTAACCCAAGGGAAGGGCTGGTGGGAGCCTGGCCTAGCCCCACATTTCTAGCCGTGGTTAGGGGATGGGTGGGGCCTGAGGAATGTGACTGGCCTCTAGGGGTGGGGTGGGTGCTGCCTGGGAGGTGGGATGGGGGAGGTGGGGTGGGGGAGGAGGGAGAAGGCCTACCTCACTTAGAGCTGTTAGGCAAAATCTTGGGCAACCCGGCCCTGCCCCCTTCCCTCCTGGATCGCCCAGGGACCTCTCAGTGCTTCCTGACTCGTTTCCTGCTCGGGGCCTTTGGACTTGCTCTCCTTTGTGCCTGGAAGGCTCTTCCCAGTTCTCAGATCCCAGATGGTGCTCCGAGAGGACACCTCCCCTGAGAGGCCCTCCCTGATCACCTTGGCTGGAGCAGCCCTGCCCTTCCCCTTACTTGTTCGCTGACCCCTTGTTCTCACCGTGTTTTATTTCTTTGCCGTGGTCCGCACTGGAGGTCAGCTGCTTGGGATGAAGGATAGTTGGAAGAAAGGCGGGTAGGAATGGGAGGGGTCCTCCCACCCTAAGAGGAAACTACCCTTAAAAGGATTTTACACCACCCTGAGGGGGCCCTCCATCCTTTCCCCACCGGTGATAGGTAGAGGACAAGAAACTGATTGGATGATAGGCTCAGGGAGTGTTAATCACATTAAAACAGACACCCTGCTAGTAGGCAGGGTAAAAACAGCTGGACTTAGAAACTGGTGGTACCCCTCTCAGTCCCCTCCCTCCTCTGGAGCTTTGTGCATCTCTTTACTATCATGTCGTTAACCTTGCTTTGCTGCCACCACTGCCGGTCCACCTCCTCATTCTTCGAAGCCGGGGCACCGAGGGGAAAGAAATTCTGCAGCCCATGCGGCCTGAGGCCTTGGTGTCACGGTCACTGCTCTGTCCCCCATGTCTACAGCAGTGTCAGGCATAGCAGATACCCAGGAACCTTCTAGAATGAATGAAAGACCAGTCCTGATGGCCCCTGCTTTCCTGTCCTTCCTCCAGGCCTTCCAGACTGGGTCCATGAGCCTCCAGACCCCTTCCCAGGGAGAAGGGATAAAAAGTGCCCCCCAGCACTCACTGCCCAAGTGACACAGAGGCCTGGAGGACCCACCCGTTAGTGAGGTCCTAAGGTTCAAGACGGAACAAGGTTTCCGGGATGACGAGCTCTTGAAACTCAGGACCCTGGCATCAGACCCTGAACCCTGATAGCCACCCTCCCCATGGCTGCCAGCTGAGCTCAGGGCACTCCTCCAAGGTCCTGGCCCACATCTTGAATGTTCCTGCCCATGGGAGCTCAGCTCTTGGTGCCAAGGGAATCCCAGCTGGGTCCCATTCTGATGGGCTGAGCTCTGGAACAGGCTGCCTTTTCAGCCCAGAGAAAGCAGTCAGTCACTTGGGGCCCCGTGGGATAAGGGCTGCATTGTGGGGAAGGAACGGCAGAGTCCACCGTCTCTCCATGTACAAAACACTTAGAAGTAGTTTTGTGTTGACTGAACTTAAGCTTCAAACGGCCTTGTGGGTTCATAGGATGGTCCTCACTTAGTCGATATAGAAACCAGCCCCGAGGAGTCAGGTCTCACACACCTGAGGATGCACAGGGGCAGGTCTGGGCCTGGAACTTGGATTTTGGACCCCAGGGCTAGTTCTTGCCCCCCAGTTCTATATTTGCTCTGGATTTCAGGATTCTGGGCCAACCCAGAACATTGCCCTCCCCTACTGGAGATAGAGGAGCTGGGTCTGGTGGCGGCCACCACTGACCTGTCTGCCTCTGTTTCCTGCCCTTGGACCCCAGGCTATGGTGGAAGCACACGTCGTCCTCCCCGAAGGTGGCCAACGAGCCGGTCTTGGCATTCACGCGGGGCAGCCCGGAGCGAGATGCGCTACAAAAGGTAATGGCCAGTGGGGGCAGGGGCACCCAGTGGGAGTAGGGGGTGGCGTGAGGACAGCCTCCAGCAGCGCCCCCAGGATGCCTCTCTGTGCCTACAGCCCTCACCCGCTGATGTGCCTGCCTCCAGCCTTGGAAGGAGACCAGATCAGGGACGGCCGTGCGTCTGGAGGACGGGAGAGGCTGGAGACAGCAGCGGGGGAGGGGGCTGGCAAGCCAGGCCACTTTGGGGTCCGGACACTTTTGGGGCTCCCTCCAGGTTAGGGGTGGTAAGCCCACAGACATTTGTTTTCTGCTTACAAACATTGTCCCGTTAATTGCCAGCATTTTAAAAATCGTGAGGTGTCATGTACGTTTCAGATGCGGGGTTTTCTTTTCTGTTTATAATTCGAGGCCCTGGCAGCACTGGCCTCCCCTCCAGCAGGACAGGAAATGACAGTGGAGGGGGGTTCTGAGTCCTGCTGCCCCCCTGAGCAGAGCAGATGCTCTCTGGCCTCAGAGCCCGGCCCCTCAGTATTTCTGTTCCCGCCTGGGGGATCTGTGTTTGCAGGCTCTGCCCCCTGGGGTTTTTAGGTGGGGCAGAGAGCGGGGAGGAGATACCCAACCCCTCAGTTGTCCCCTCTGCAGGCCTTGAAGGACCTGAAGGGCCGGACGGAAGCCATTCCATGTGTGGTGGGGGACGAAGAGGTGTGGACGTCAGATGTGCGGTACCAGGTGTCGGTGAGTCCTGTGGGCGGCGGGGCTCAGTTTCTCCCCGAACCTGGGGTCCTGTCTCTCGGGCAGCAGATCACACGGGCATCTCTGCCCGCAGAGTTTATAGTCCGTTCCCTGATTTTGAGTTCTGAGCGCCAGTATAAAACCTCCAAAAGTAGTCTTGGGGGTCTTGTCATGAAAGATTCCGACTTCACACCAGTCAAGAGGGAGTTAAAACGGTGATGGCCACCGGCTTTGCCGTCTCTTTAGAAAGGTGGACCCATTGGCCACCTAAAGGGTGGAGAGAAAGGGCAGAATGGCAGAATTGAAGATAATCTTTCCAGAGAATCCGACAGTCTCCAAAGCCCTGCCCTCTATTTTGGAACTGCTGCTCTCGGGGAAGATAAGCTCCTCTGAGGCGAGCCCCCAGGGCGTGGACCCGTTGTCTGGCCAGGTGTCCCCTCCTCCTAAAAGCCCTCCAGCTGGAGCCACACTCCTACAGACACATCTGAGAGGTCCTGCCCATATGCAGGGGCTCCTCTCTCGGTCCTTGCCACTTCTCTTAGAGGGAGGAAGAGTAGGGAGTTAGCTGCCCATTTTGGAGATCAAGGCTCAGAGACACTAAATGACCCAGCTAGGGCGGCACAATTAGATCTGGAATAGGGATGATTAATCCTTGTTCTCCAGAACCACACCCTGTTGGTGTTGATTCTGGTGCATTTTCTGGGGAGGATTTGGAAGTGGCATAGTAATTCACAGTGCAGTAGGGTCTTCTCGCTGTGGCCTCCTGGTCATGGAATGAGAACCGTGGAGCCCTGGGTGCAGGAGACAGCCTGGACTTGCCTTGATGCCTCCTGGTAATCGCAGGGAAGCCAGCACGTCACTTACACTAGTCAGAGTATTCTTTTTTTTTTTTTTAAAGATTTTATTTATTTATTTGACAGAAATCACAAGTAGGCAGAGAAGCAGGCAGAGAGAGAGGAGGAAGCAGGCTCCCCGCTGAGCAGAGAGCCCGATGCGGGGCTCGAACCCAGGACCTGGGATCATGACCTGAGCCGAAGGCAGCGGCTCAACCCACTGAGCCACCCAGGCGCCCCTAGTCAGAGTATTCTTGAAATAAACTCCAGCTGCACCTTGGGAGTAGTGCAGCCCTTCCCCATAGGGGGCCCGGAGAGAAATTGCTCCCGAGGGCGTCAGAAGGATGAACACTGCCTGAGTCTCAGCTCATGTCCAAAGGATGCTTTTTGCACTCTGTCATTCCGTGCAGGCCAGAGCGCCCACTGCTGGGTCAGCAACCAGAGGGCACATCACCCGGAGCCCTGGGAGCACAGCCCCGCATCACACAGGTCACCCGGTCCCTCAGCACTGTGCCACCTGCCAGCTAGGATTCCGATAACCCTCTGGGCGGGCACTTACATTCTCATGGCCTGTGGTGCCTCACTGACCTGGCCACGTGGAAACTGGGGGAGCCTAGGCATGGGAGGCAGTGGCTGGCACGTGGCTGCTGGCGTCGGGGAGCTGCCGTCCACGGGGATGTGCTGGGTCGAAGGGCCGGGGTCCGAGCTGCCGCCTCAGGCCCTGAGCATCACAAGCCAGACTCAGGTGCGGACAGGATACAGGTGACTCTGCTGGTGGTTGGAATGAGGGGCAAAGGGCCACTTTGTCCTGAACCCTAGACCAGCACCACCCAATAGACTATTCTGCAGTTCCGATGACCTGTATCTACATGCTGTCCCACTACCGCGGCCACGGGCCGTGCGTGGCCGTCCAGCCCGTGGAATGTGGCAGGTGTGGCCGAGGAACGGGGTTGAAATGTCAGCAGGCACATGGCTTGTGGCTGCCGTGTTAGAAAGGAAAGCTGCAAACAGCCCGTTGGCAGACTGCTGGGTGGCAAAAGTGTTGAACTGTTGTGGAAAGAAGGGAAATTTTTCCCTGTCTTGTTGCTCATGCTAGCGTCTGGCGCTGTTGGGTTCTGTTTGTAAATGTTTGTGGAGGGTCTTTTTGATGAGTATATTTGGGTCCCATGCCAGGGGCTAGAGAAGTGGTTGGTCTGTCCCCTAGGCACTCAGGGGGATGGCAGAAATCCTGAGCAGGTCTCAACTCCCATGCATCATGTGGGGCCTCTCAGGGGACAGTGCTCACACCTGAGCCCCAGTCGCGAGCCACACCCGCTCTGGCGGCGTTTTCACCTGTGAACCCACTTGGCCCTACTCCCCATGCTGTGAGTCGGGGCGGGGGTGGGGTGGGGAGTGTCCCCATTTCCCACAGGGGGAGACGTGGAAAGGGGAACTCACTTTACTCTGGCCTTCAGCTAGTAGGTGGCAGAGCTGGATGTGAACCCGTGTCTGTCTGGCCACGAAGTCCACACTTTCCCTGAAAGACTGTGTGGTCCACGCCTTTCTCCGGGACTGTGACCCTTCCAGAGCAGGGATGGACTTACTCACCGAGCCGCAGGTGCTCTGTAACCCTTAGTCAGAGAGACGGATGTGGGGATCGGAGGGGAGAGGGCGAGGGTGCTGAGGGCTGTTGCCTGGTAGGTGAGCTCTGTGCCCGGCCATGTCCCCACCTGTCCTGGCATCTCCCAACTGGGCAGTGACCTCGCTCTCCTCTCATCTGGCAGCCCTTCAACCATGGACACAAGGTGGCCAAGTTCTGCTATGCAGACAAGGTAAGGCCCTGGCGACTTCGGGTTGGGCTGCTGGCCCGGAGGCAGGCTTCAGTGTCTGCTTCCCTCTGTGGCCGTGGTGGGCGGAGTCTTTCACAGCCCCGCCCGCCTGGGGTTCATTCGAGCCAGATGAGAGCTGCATGGGCCGGGGCTGACATTCCCCGACATGCCTATGGCCGTGAGGCAGCCTGGTTTCCAAGGGGCGTAGATTCTGCAAGGCTGAGTCAGGGACATTGGAAACACCAAGGATGGGAAGGTAGAGGGTCGGCATCATGGGGGGCAGTGAGAGGGGTTGGGGTGCCCTGTGGCAGGGGGTCTAGGAGCTGGCCTCATGGGGCAGCGAGAGCATGCTGGTGTCAGGTTGGAAGTCTCAGGCTATGGTTCTGTGCACCTGACCTTGAGGGCTAGAGGCTCTGGCTGGTGGACTTGGGGGCCCTGGGAAGAAGCTGAGGCCCTAAGGAGCCCACAAGAGAAAGCAGAGCTAGCTTATCAGCTGGGGGACTTGCTGCCGAGTCTCCTGGCATGCAGACCTTCCTGGCGGGTCCCTCAGACCTCCAGATGGCTGCAGGAAAGGCCTAGAGCCTGGGGTGGGCTGGCAGGTGGGACACTGTTTGCTACTGTGTATGTGGGGGCAGGGGGAGCACTGAGGCTAAGGGATCCACGGGTCGCTGGGTGGAGGGTGACCTCTAGTCTCCCTTGCCCGTTCCCCTGGGGCCCTTGCTGCTGTGGGAGACAGCCCTGAACCTGTTCCTCTTCATTAGGGTGTACTCAACAAAGCCATTGAGGCTGCATTGGCCGCCAGGAAAGAGTGGGACCTGAAGCCCGTCGCAGACCGGGCCCAGATCTTCCTGAAGGCAGCAGACATGCTCAGTGGGCCGCGCCGGGCAGAGGTCCTTGCCAAGACCATGGTGGGACAGGTGAGGTGCCCGTGGGCACAGTCGGGGTGGGGTGGGAGGCTGTGGTCATGCACCATCCAATACAGTAGCCTTGAGCTGAGCTGCTTTGGGTGCCGGGACAAGCTCTGTGCTGGAGACCGAGAGATGTCCCGAGACCCTGTGCTGGCCTCTAGGCTTAGTCAGCCCTCCGCAACCCTCCACAGCCCTCCGAGGGGCCTTTATGACACCTCTAGCAGAGGCTCACAAACCGCCGGGGTCTCTCTGTCCGTGACAGTCATGTCCAAGTCCTGTGCTCAGGGCCCTGTTTCCGGCCCGTGCCCAGCTTGCCGGCGGCTCTGCCCGTGAGGTCACCAGTCTGGATTCAGCAAGATCCTGGACACCAGGCATCCCTTCTCCCTGCCTCTCCCTGCCGGCCCTGCCTGGCATGCTCCCTTTCTGTCCTGTGAACGCTTCCCTTCGAGCTCCTGCCCGGACATCACCTCCTCTGTGAGCCTTCCAGAATCTTCTCTGTCCGAAAGGATTCGTCCCGCTTCTGCGCTCCCATAGCGTGCCGTTCATTTGTCCGTTATAGCTCAGGTCCTGTTGGGTACAGTGAGTTCCTGTGTGCGTATCACCTCTTTACAAGCTTTTTTGGGGGAAGAAATGGAGTTAGCTGTTCTCCCTCTTCCCGGGCTCACAGCACGTCTTCCTGCAGACATAGGTCCTGAGAGATGTTTTCGGACTGCGTGCATGGGGAGCCAGGGAGAGGCACCAGCAGCTCCAAGTGGGGAAGGGAGCCTGGGTGGGGGGAGAGGATTAATTTCACTGTCCCCAGGAGGAAGCCTTAGGCTCTTGAGTCGCCTGGTCCTGGCCAGCTCCCCGCCCCCCCCCCCCCCCGCACCCCCTCCCCGCTGCCCCCCCAACCCCATCCTGTGCTGAGAGCCCCCTCTGCTGCACGGAGGTGGTATGACAGCTCCTTGCCGGCTAAGGGTCTGTCTCCTGGTTCTCAGCAGCCCCTGCAGTGGTTGTGGGCTCCGCAGTGTCCCCGGTGAGCCACACACACTCGGTGGCCAGATTAAGGTGCTTTATTGGACTAAAGTCTCAGGAGCTTCTCGGAAGTGTGGTGACCTCGCAGAACCGGGCAGGGCGTCTTAGCTGCTGTGGCTGCAGGTCCCGAGCAGGGTGGCTGTTGACAGTGACCGTGTGCCAAGGAGGGGCTGCCCTGATCCAGAAAAATCCCATTCTTGCAGCCCAGAGGTCCTCCCTGGGCCCTCCTGTCTGTCGGGAGGAATGGGCAGTGAAAGAAATGGCCGCTTTCGGGCCTCCTGCTGCTTGTTCAAATGCTCCCAGGGAAGGCACCTGCTCCCCTGGGGAGAAGAGAGCCGCCAGCACTGTGGGCGCACAGTCCGTGTTGGCAGAGGGCCGACGGGAGGCACGTCGGTCACCACTGACCCTCTGGTGGTCCTGCACGCAGGGAAAGACGGTGATCCAGGCAGAGATCGACGCGGCAGCTGAGCTCATCGACTTCTTCCGGTTCAATGCCAAGTTTGCCATGGAGCTAGAGGGCCAGCAGCCCCTCAGCGTGCCGCCCAGCACCAACAGCGTCGTGTACCGGGGACTGGAGGTACCCACAGGCGGTGGGGCGGGCAGAAACCTGCTGGAGAAAGCCAAGAGCTTGGCCCCCCCCCCCCCCCCCCCCCCCCAGGGCTTCGTGGCGGCCATCTCCCCCTTTAACTTCACGGCGATCGGCGGCAACCTGGCGGGGGCGCCGGCCTTGATGGTGAGACGATGACCTGGATGGTGAGATGGGGCTGGGCAGGCGGGCAGCTCTCCTCCCTGCCTCCGCAGACAACAGTGGCCCAGCCCCGGCTGTGGGGAGACACCCAGAAGGTGGAAGCCGTGCGGGCCCCTGGAAAGGCTTTGGGGTCTGAGACTGGTTTGGATCCCAGCTCTGCCCCATGCTGGGGAATCCCCAGGCAAGCCCCCAAACTTTTCTGAGGTGGTTTCTAACTCCTTAAAGTAGAAATCCAGTAGGAGAGCTCAGAGTACAGCGTTGTGGGGAGCATGTGTGGGACACGCACATGGGACATGTCTGGCCTGGCCTGATATGGGCTTCAGGGAAGGTTGACAGTGATGGCAGATCCCTTTCTAGTGTCTACTGTGTGCCCTACAAGTGACTTGTCAAGTCTAGGAAATGACCACACAGTAAGGATTCGGGCTTAGCTTCCAAGTCCCTGGCTCCCGTCCCCTTGTCAGGGAGAAGGTGGCTGTCACCCTCATGAACCCCCATCAAAGTGGGGGGTGATGCAGTCATGCTCTTGGAGGGTCTGGGTGGCTCATGGGGCAATAGGAGGAGGGCTGGCAGGTGGCAGGGGCCTGGGCCCCACATGGGGCAGCTGGCTGGTCTCGAGGCTGCTCCTGCCCAGGGCTGTCCTCATCCTATGCATCTGTGCATAGACAGACATGCACACACCCAGGTGCCCCCGTGTCCTCAGCCAGGACACATGCAGAGACAGCCCTGTGAGCACTTGCCTGCCATGCCCAGTGAGCGCCCAGCGACATGGAAACACCCAGAACAGACCTGCCGGAGGCGTGCTGGCAGGACCCGTCAGTACAGGCTTCCAGAAGAGGGGACCTTGGCCAGAGCGAGGGAACAGAGGGGGCAGGGTGTGGTCTCACTGGCGAGGGTGTTTGGAACACCGTGCCTGACACCTGGAACCGTGGGGACATCCTGGCCTACCGAAGGGCCTGGTGGCTCCACTTGGGGGATAGCCATGCTTCAGGGTGGAGGGGCAGTTGGGTGGTGACCCCTGCTTTGAGCGCCATTGCCGTGCCTCCCGGGCAGGGCAATGTGGTCCTGTGGAAGCCCAGCGACACTGCCATGCTGGCCAGCTATGCCGTCTACCGCATCCTCCGGGAGGCGGGCCTGCCCCCCAACATCATCCAGTTTGTGCCAGCTGACGGGCCCACGTTTGGCGACACGGTCACCAGCTCGGAGCACCTCTGCGGTATCAACTTCACAGGCAGCGTGCCGTGAGTCCGGGGCACGGTGGGCCGGGGGCATGGGGACGTTCACCAGGCGGTCTGGGAGCCAGAGGTCAGGCACAGATCATACCTACGGACTCGCTGTGTGGTCTTGGGTGGCTCACTTCACCTCTCTGAGCCTTCATTTCTTGACCTGTTCAAGAGGAACACGGTCCCGACCTCGCAGGGCGATTGTGAGGTTCCAGTGAATGATCCAAGAGGAAGAACTTCATGGGCTGGAAGCAGCCTACAGGCGTTTGGTGGTGCTGATTTTGATGCCACCTCTGTCACAGGGAAAGGCACAGAGAAGCTTGGAATGAATTGAAGGAAGCAGGAAGGCTTCTTGGAGGAGGTGGTATGTAGGCAGAGGTGATAGCCAAGCAAAGAGGCGGTAGGGAGAGTGCTGTGGGAGAGGGAACAGCACGTGCAAGGCCTCAAGGCTAAAGCTCCCGTGCTCCGGCAGCCGGTGGTGGTTCCGTGGGGCTGGAGTGTGGAGTGCCAGGGCCGCGGGAAGAGTGAGCGCAGGAAACAGTTCAGTCGTTTATTCAGTAATGATCAGGTATATACATCCGGTGAACATGTGGGCAAGTCCTGATTCTCGGAGGGTTGAGTCCCATGACTGTAAGGCCCTGTGAGCCCACAGAGGGGTCTAGACCTTATCCCGAAGGTGATTGGGAGCCACGGAAGGTTTCCCCCCAGGGTGTACATGAAGCCAGCGGCTTGTCAAGCAGAGTCTGCCGGTGGTAGTAGCTCTCTAGTTGGACCTGGCAAGTGGCCTTGTCTACTCTGACCCCTAACTGAGATGGACCAACCTTGTACAGTTGGGACGGTTTCATGCAGAAATCTTCTTGAGATTTCAGGCTGCTTTTGAGAACCTGCCCGTCTGGGCCTGCGTGTCCAGGGGGCACCCCTGGCTGGAGGTAGGGGTTTAGTGCTCTCCGATCCCTGCCAGCCTCAGTGGGCCCAGGGCCTCTGCATACATGGTCATATTTTTCCTAGTCTGGCCCCGCTGGGGCCCTGCCTTTGTAGTCTCTGTCCCAGATGATCATTCTGGCTTCTCTGTGCATAAGTCCCCAATGGCCAGAGCGGGACACCAGTGAGGAGGCCACCCCTGTCCAGGAGGGGACAGTAGAGGACTGAAACAGGGTAGAGATGGTGGGATTGAGTTTAGGTGAGCAGGTGGCAGGGAGACGAGATTGTGTGTCCATGGGATTGGATCAGTGGATGGATGGGGGTCCGTGGGGAAGTCCAGGGGCTGGGCAGAGGGGCTTCTGGAAGGTGTGGGTGGACATGACAAGTCCCATGCTGGTCACTTTGAGTGTGGGGAGGTGCCCAAGAGTGATCTGAGCGGAGATATCAAGGTCTGCACTAGGGGGTCCTTCCTGGTGACCCTGGGGACACCTGCGGAGGCTTTTGTCTCCCTTGCCCGGCCTTGGGTCCTCCTACCCCCCTTCCCAGGCTTTGCCGGGCGTGATGGCAGCATTAAAATTGCTGAGGAGGACCGTTTTCCAAAAAGGCCCCCTCTGCCAGCGTGGGCCCCACGGGTCCCTGCCTTTTAGCGGGCGGAGCAGGCCTGGCCCCCATTTGCCATGCTCTGATGAGCGGAGGGCGTAAAGGTAGGAAAGTCATAAATTAGTATTAGCTACTGTGTCACAGGCTGCCTGGTGATTAGCATTTTTATTGTTTTGTGGTGCTGAGGTTGGTCACACTTGGAGCTTGGGGAGGAGGTGGGGGCCTGCGCTCTGTCTCCCAGGACCCTCCTTGGTTCGGCCTCTGGAGCCGGGGCGCTGGGCTGGGGGCGCTACTCTCTGTGGCGTGTCTGTCCCCCGCCGGGCACCTGCAGCATGTCTGGCACTGACTGAGGCACTTGACTCCCGCTGGAGCCACCGCAGAGCAGCGTTGCCAGGTGGGAACGTTCTCTCCCCGTCCCTGAGGAGCGGCGCCATTCGAGGTTGAGTGATGAGTGCGAGGTCCCATGGCCATGAGTGTCGGAATTGGGGCCCCTGGCCTTGTCGGCCTCATCTTGGCGGCCAAGCCTACCTTTGCTCCCCGCCACGGGCCCCGAATATAGTCTGTCTCCAGCTGCCCCTGCCTACTCCGTTCCCCTTGTCCAACCCTCGCTCTGACCCCTGCCCCCACCTGCTGGGCTTTGGGGCCCCTTCCTCTAGTAGGGCCTTCTCCCCACATCCCAGGACCCTCACTGTCCCAGGGGCCTGAGCCTCACTTCCTAATCCTTGCCCTGTCCTTTGCTTTCAGCACATTCAAACACCTGTGGAAGCAGGTGGCCCAGAACCTGGACCGGTTCCGCACTTTCCCACGCCTGGCCGGAGGTGAGGGTCCCTCTCTACCCGGTGCCCTCCCTGTGGCTCCCGGGCACCCCTCCCTGACTCATGAAAGAGGAAGACGGGATGCCCCTGTGGCGGGGTGGGGGGGCAGCCCTGGAGGAGCTGAGCAGGGAAGGGCCTTAGGGGTGGAGCCTCAGCTCTGCTTGATCCTGGGGCCTGTGCCCTTGAATGTGTAGTTCATTTGTCGTTCAGCAGATGAAACGCTAAGGAGCTACGTAGGCACTCTGGACACCATTGGTGCTGTGAGGGCAAGAGACGCAGAGCCAGCCCTCAGGAGCTCGTGTTCTGTGCCAGCTAGCAGATAGTGGGCACACAGTGATGGCCAGAATCCACGGAGAGAGAGGCGGTGTGCAGAGTCCCTGGGGCTGGGTGTGGTTGCCGGAGGGGTGGTCCTTCTCAAAGAAGGAGCCTTTGAGTTGAGACCTGGACCCAGAGAGGAAGCCAGCCTCACAAAGATCTGGGGAGGCCGAGCTGTTGAGCGGGCCCTGGCGCTGTGCAGTAGAGCTTCATACGGTGATGGGAAAGTTCCATGTCCATGCGGTCTGGGCGGGGGCCCACAGGTGCCTGTTGAGCGCTTGACAGGCGCCTGGTATGACCAAGGAAGTGAACAGCTTGTTCTGCTTCGTTTAAATTAGCGTGAATATAAATGGCTACATACATCTGGCAGTGGCCACTTACTGGGATCGAGGCAGAGGGATCTGCTGGTGCGGAGGCTAGGGGGTGGGAATGAGGCCAGTGTAAGTGGCATAGGGAGGCAGGGGGCCAGCAGGACAGGGGCCCGAGAGCTCAGCATGGCTGGAGCTTACAGCAATACTACAAATGTTCCCACAAAGAAACACCCACATGGTTGAGGAGATTTCTGTGTAGAAGCAACAGAGTCCTTCGCTGCAGGACTTCTTGGAGCCTTTAATGCTTTTAAAGGTATGACGTTTCTCTAGGAGTCAGGACTGATACGTGTTTCCCAGACTCTCTGGCTCACAGAACCCCATTTTTGTGGAGGCTCCCATGGACCAGGATTTTTTGGGGGAAAGGGCTGAGTCCCTGAGAGAGGGCTGTCCAGGGTCCCATAGCACAGCAGCCACAGAGCAGGGACTGGTGGTTCAGCATTCCTGCTGCAATGGATGAAGTGAGGCCCACGGGGAAACTGGGCCCACTCCTGAGCTGGTGGGTTCTCTGATGGGGGTTCAAGGAAGGGGTGGCATCTCCACCCCAATCCACCCTTCACAAGATGGGAACAGTGTGCTGGATCTGGGTTTCTGTTCCCTGCCGCCTTCCTGCTGTGCCCCAAGGAAGGGAGACTACCACTTCTCTGCCACCTCCCAGCCTCCAGACTTAATCTCTCTGTGTCTCAGTTTTTTTTTTAAGATTTTATTGATTTATTTGACAGAGCGATCACAGGTAGGCAGAGAGGCAGGCAGAGAGAGAGGGGGAAGCAGGCTCCCTGCTGAGCAGAGAGCCTGATGTGGGCCTTGAATCCAGGACCCCGGGATCATGACCTGGACCGAAGGCAGAGGCTTAACCCACTGAGCCACCCAGGCGCCCAGTTTTCTTTTTTTTCTTAAGTTTTTATTTAAGTAATTTCTGCACCCAACATGAGGCTTGACCTCATGACCCAGAGATGAAGAGTTGCGTGCTCTTCCGACTGAGCCAGCCAGGCACTCAATTTTTTTTTGCCTTTAAAATGGGGATAAGAGGGTTGGTGTGAGGCTTTCCTGAGACAAAGCAGGAAGTGTTTTGAGCAGAGCTTGGCAGGTGATTAGTGCTTTGTGACTGGGAGCTGCTGGTCAGGGAGATGCTGGTCACTAGTGTTTCAGGGAGGGAGGAACCAGGGCCCAGGGGCTGAGAAAACAGGGATGGGGGAGGGGGTTTGGTTAGCTCCCATGAGTAGGGAAGAGGGACCAGCCCTGGAAGCTGCCGTGGAGTGGAGGAGCCTTGCCCTCTCCTCTCACCGGCCTGGGGGTCGGGAAGGGGCTGAGAAAGCGGTGTGTGCTTCTGGGAATGGATTGGCTCCTGCGAGGCTCAGATCCTGGTCCTTCTGCCCTGATGGTGGGCACACCCCTGCCCTAGCCTTGGTTTCCCCAGCCATGGGGTAGGAGATGGGTCTGGCTCACCGGCTTCCGGGGCGCTGTCCAGCTGTGACCCAGGGTTGGGGCTGCGCACACCTGTGCGCAGGTGGGATGGCGGGCCGGCCGGGGAGCCGGCTCCCCTCACACCCCCCTCCCTTGCAGAGTGTGGCGGGAAGAACTTCCACTTCGTGCACTGCTCTGCTGACGTGGACAGCGTGGTGAGCGGGACCCTGCGCTCGGCCTTCGAGTATGGCGGCCAGAAGTGCTCGGCCTGCTCCCGCCTCTACGTGCCCAGTTCGCTGTGGCCGCAGATCAAAGGGCGGCTGCTGGAGGAGCACGGCAGGATCAAAGTGGGCGACGTGAGTGGCGTCCTCCCTGCCGCAGCCCAGTGGGAGGTTGATGGGATTGGATGCTGGTGGGGTGGTGGGGAGGCGGGCCTGGGGTGCACGGGGAAGGGGCTCCCTTTGTCTCGGGCCTATGGTGACTCACTCTGACTCACTCGAGCTCCTCTGGGACCTCCCCTCCTCCAGCCGGCAGAGGATTTTGGGACCTTCTTCTCAGCCGTGATTGATGCCAAGGTAGGGGCAAGAAGCAGGTGTTCTCGGGGGGCAGACCCTGGCCCAGGTGGGAGAGGGAGTAGGAGATGTGGGGGCCTTGACGGGGGCTCACCCGGCCCCACTGCCTCAGGCAAGGCAGTCCGACGGCCGCACGGACGCCCCAACCTCGAGCTTTGAAACCTGCAGAAACATCCGTAAGCAGACAGCTTGATCCCTGTGTGCCCTGTGGCCAGGTTTGACCAGCCCCCGCTGAGTGTGGGTCCACACTCGTGCTCAGACAGGCCTGCGGGGCCGCAGCCTGTGCCCACACACTTGCGTGCGTGCATGCCCGCCCACGAACATGGATGGGCTCGGTGAGTAGGCAGGCACCTGGGTCAGCGGCAGGAGCAGACACACCCACATACATGATATACTACATATGTGCACGTGTGTGTCGTGTGTCCGTATGTATATAGATGGACGTCGTCTGCATTCATACGCGTGTGTGTGTATGTGTGTGTGTGTAACACTGGCGTGCTCATACACAGGTACTTCAGCATGAAGGCTCGTGGCCATGCACATGCCCATGTGTACATTCTTGTGTGTGTTGTGTTTCTGTAAGTGTAATTGTGGTCCACACACACACACAGACACAGACACAGACATGTATGCTTGTCTGCCCTTGTTTCTCCGTGCCTCGGCTGGACCCTGGCTTGGCCCTCTCCCCATCCCCCCATGCCAGAATTTGGGCCCTTCAGGGACAAATGTGCTGGGGTGAGCGTGTTGGGGGCCATGCTGCTGGGCACGGCCTCCCGGTCAGTCTGTGACCTCCCTTCCTCCCCACCTACCGCAGTCCTTCAGCCGCATCAAGAAATGGCTGGAACACGCCCGCTCCTCCCCCAGCCTCAGCATCCTGGCGGGGGGCAAGTGTGATGACTCCGTGGGCTACTTTGTGGAGCCCTGCATCATTGAGAGCCAGGACCCTCAGGAGCCCATCATGAAGGAAGTGAGTGGGGCGGGCAGCCGGGGGCACAGACCACAGTCTCTCCCCCGAGCCCAGCGCAATAGGGATCCTTGTGTGTGGCTTCCCGCCTGTGGTGCTACCCAGACCCACAGCTGGAGTGTGAGGTTCTGGAAAGGGAGTGTCTCCCTCCCAGTGAGAACAGAGCCAGGCCTGGCTTTCCGGCTTCCTGACCCCAAATCCAGGGTTCTGTCTTTGACACTGCAGAGCCTGGCGGCGTCCTAGCACTTCCACGAGGCCACAGTCCCCATCTTAACTCTGGGCTGGCCACAGCTGGGCCCTGGACTGAGAGGAGAGGTGATATACCCATTTTATAGATGAGAAACTGAGGCTCCGAGGGGTGAAAGCACTTGCCCAGGATGGCAGTGCAGGGCCCAGAGGACTGTGATATTGCCAGGCTGTTCCTGTGCTGCATACTGCCAGGTGTGGGTTTGGCTGGCATGGAGAAAGTATCCTGGACCTCCTGCCAGGTTGGTATGGGGTCGGCGTGGCAGGAACCGTGTGTTACTCTCCGGAGGGAGCCCAGCAGTGGGAGGCACCTGGCCCTTCTTACAGGTGCTGAGCTGTGGCCCAAGGCCGGGGAGATGGGGGAGAGGTGGAGACCAGAGCAGGGGGACTGGGAGGCCTTGGGGCTCAAGTCCAGGGCGGGTGTGACCCTGGGCTTCTGTGTCAGGAGATCTTTGGACCCGTGCTGACCGTCTACGTCTACCCGGACGAAGAGTACAAGGAGACGCTGCGGCTGGTCGACAGCACCACCAGCTACGGCCTCACGGGGGCAGTGTTCGCCAAGGATAAGTGAGTGGCCACCGCCCTTCTGCTCTTGGCCTGGTGTCCTGCCCCATCCCGTCTCGCGACCATCCTCCTGGATGAGGATCCTAGTCCTAATGCCGTCCCTTCCCCTCACTTCAGCCCCAACCAGCAAGCAGGTGGGCCTCCCAAGCACGGGGATACGGGCACCTGGGCTCTTTACTGAGATGCATATTTTGGAGTCCCAGAAGGCACCTGCCGAGGTATCTTTGAGCCCGGAGGCCATGATGCTAAACCCTTGGCTTTCCCTTCCTCCGTGCACTAGCTGCTGCCCCCTCTGCCTCGAGATCACGGAGATGAGATTGGGACCTGGGGGTGGGGGGTCTTGGGGGGTTCCTCCAGCTCCCCGGGGCAGAGGAGGGGACAGGAAAATGGGACCAGGATGGGCCACTCAGAGGCTCTCAGACCCTGCCCAAGGGGTCTAGAGCCCCGTGGCCAGATCCTGTCAGCTGGGCAGCTGGTATGGGCTGGGCCGGTCCCCATCAGCTGGGATCCACTGCGGGCTGGGCTGGTTGGTGGCGGTCAGACCTGGGGCGGGGGGCAGGCGAGCCGGCTCCCCTCTGACCACTGCCCTGCCGTGTAGGGATGTTGTTCAGGAGGCCACAACGTTGCTGAGGAACACAGCCGGCAACTTCTACATCAATGACAAGTCCACTGGCTCGGTGGTGGGCCAGCAGCCCTTTGGGGGGGCCCGAGCCTCTGGTGAGTGGGTCCCTCCTCTGCAAAGGAGGGGCAAGTTCTGTCAGGAGACTCTTCAGCCCTCACGTCAGGAGTGTTAAGAGTAATAGCCAACACTGTGGGCCGGAGCTAAGGAAGGTAGTTCTTCCCATTTGACAGAGGGGTAAACTGAGGCACCAGGAGGTAAAGTGACTTGCTCAGAGGCACCTGGCTGGGAAGTGGCAGAGCTGGCATTTTGGTTCCAGGACCCACGCCTTTTACCACTGTACTCCAGGTCACCTCAGTGCAAGTCTGTTCTGTTTACAAACGGGGAAACCGAGGTTCAGAGTGGGGCGGTGGCTCATGTTAGGTCCCAGCTGCCTTGGCGCAGAGCCAGGGCCAGACCCAGGGCTCCTGGCTCCCAGTGGAGCATGTTCTTCATGGTGATCCCGGACACCCCCTTGCAGGCAGGGCACATGGCCCCAGGGAGCGTGGGTCCTGCCTCCCCTGGCCTCACTCAGGAGCCCTGCCCTCGTGGACTCGTTTAGTTTCTGTTGAGCTGCATATTGCCATTGCTGGTGCCCGGTTAGTCGGTCAGCTCTACCCACTCCCTTTCCCTTCGGCCCGGGGCTGCCGTATCTTTTCGGAGGCAAGCAGAGCTGTCTTTTCCACAGGAACCAATGACAAGCCAGGGGGGCCTCACTACGTGCTGCGGTGGACGTCGCCCCAGGTCATCAAGGAGACCCACGAGCCCCTGGGGGATTGGCGCTACGCCTACATGCAGTGAGCCCCACCCGGTGCCTCTGCTGTGTGTCCACCTGTCTGTCCGGACAACCCACCTCAGAGCCCTCGCCCCGCTCCGGCCCCTTTGACCTGCTCCCCGTGGGACTGCCCCCTTTCCCCGACTGGGCTTTATCCTGGCCTGTCCCACACCCCTCAGGGGCAGGTGCCAGCTCTGATTTGAGACCTGCTGGAGGGGAATGGGGCTACCGCCCCTTCTCTCACGGCTGTCCTGGAGATTCTGTCTGGCACGTTCTCTGCCTGTCTTCTTTCTCTGCACTGTGGCCCAGTGGCTCAGGCACCTGGGGAATGGCAGTAGAGTGCCTTCCAGGATCCCTTAAGGACCAGGGGGCAGCTCTGGGCCCCTTGGTGAAGTTGAGCATCCACAGAGACTCCTGGCCTTGGCCTTGGCTCCTCCAGGGCTCCAGGATTAGCTATGACCCAGGGTGGCTGCAGGGCATGGGGGCACCAGCTTGCCTGACCCTCCCTGGTCTGGGCTGCCCACCTTCCTCCCCAGCGGTTGGCCCATGCCCACCTGGGCCAGTGGGTACCTGGGCCTGATCTGGTGCCTTAGACACCTCTGTGCCTTTGTCCAGGGCACCCATGTTCTCTGGAGGCCCATGTGACTCCTGGCAGTCTCTCTGTGTGGGCTTGCGGGGCTAGCAGAGGCTCTCTGTTGAGGTACAGGATTTGGTGGGCCTTCCTATTTGGGCTGTGGTTTCGTAAAACCCTGGGGGGCCTTCATGCCAACTCAGCTTGCCGTTGGCTCACAGCTCCCACCTGTGTGGGCCCAGGGCTTCCTGCAGGAGCTCGGTCCCCACCAGCTATGGTAGAACAGGCCTGGGGAGACTGCTCCCACCTTCTCCCAGCCTCAAGAACTAGCCTTGGGTTCCTGTCCAGCCCAGGCTGAGGATGGCCCCGTAGAACCTTCCCTCCCTGGCACAGAAGTGGCTCTGTGTGGACTAGCCTCCAGGCGGCCCAATCTTCGACAGAGCCAGCTGGGGGACACTCAGAATTGGATTGAATTGGGGGACATTGAATTGGATTGCAGGGGGCTGGGGACTGATAAGGGGTGACTTCAGAGGACAGTTTTTAAGGGTCCTGGTCCTTTGCCGAGGACAGCTGGCATGGGTCCCCTGTGGGGCTGTCCCCCAAGCACCGTGGTTGTACACTGTGGCTTGCAGTCTGGTGGGCATGCTGCTGGGACAGGGCGTAGTTCTGCTTCCTTCCAAGTTCCTCATGGCTGCTGGGAGAGGCTGGGGCCGTCACCTGGGGGGAGGTGCTGGAGATGGTCCTGGTTCCACAGATGTGAAATTGCGAGGTGACGGTGGGCTTCTCTCTGCAGACACCCTTGTGAATGCTTGTTACGTAGACTGCTGGTCTTTCTGGCGGGGGCTGAGGGGCTAGCTTCTCCAGACAAAGGCTGATGTGTGGGATGTATGTTGCTCCCGTGTCCTTGATGTCAGGAGTGCGGGGGCTTCGGTGTGATGGAGGAAAGGGCAGGCACTGAGGTTTGGGAATGTGGGCTGGAGGTATGAGAACTCTGGAGTTGGGTGGGTTCAAAGCCTGGCTCTCTGCCTCCAGAAAGTTGTTCAACCTCTCTGATCTGTCTCTTTCTCTGTGAGCTGGGTAATAATACACATACACATGTGCACACACGCACGCAGATTGTCGTGACGACTGAGTTAATTCACGTAATTGTTTAGAACAATGCTAAATACAGAATGAATGATTTAGCCATGTATACATTCTAACAGCCACTGTTACCGTGTTGTGATGGTTTAAGTTTATGTGAAAACTGAGCTGGGCTGTGGTGCCCAGGTAGTTAGTTAAACATTATTCTGGATATTTCAATGAAAGTGGTTTTTGGACGAGATTGACATTTAAATCGATGGACTCCCAGGTTAAAGCCATTGTCTTCTGTACTGTGGGTGGGCCTCATCTAATCAGATGAAGGCCTTCATAGAACAAAGACTGACCTCCTCCAAGCAAAAAGGAATTCTGCCAACCGACAGCCTTTGAACTCAGCTGTGACTCTTCCCTGGGCCTTCAGCCCACTGGTCTGCTCTGCCGATTTTGTACTTACCAAGCCTCCAAGATTGTGTTAGCAGTTTCCTTACAATAAGTCCATTCTGTTCGTTTTCTCTGGGGGACTTTGTTTTTTTCACAGCAGCTGGGTGGAGGACACACTGCTGTGCTCCCATTTCACAGAAGAGGAAACGGGTGCAGGGGGGTGAAGGGACTTGCCAAGGCTGTGGCCTATCGTGGGGACTCTCTGATTCCCAAACCCATTCCCTGTCCTCCCCCCAGATGTCCATACATGGCACTGACCTGCCTTGGGAAGACCTCAGCTGGCCAAATTGGGGTGGGGCGGGGAGCGGCAAGGAACCACAGCCAGCTAGCTTGTGCCCAGAATCTGTGGGTCTAAGTCCATGTGGGCCGGCTGACTTGGAGGGGGAACTGTCCTGGGCTGCCTGCAAAGGACAGAGGAAGAGCTCCTGGCCACGTGACCCCTCCCTGTCCCGGGACCCACTGATCGGGGCTGTTGGGGGCAGGATCCCAGAGCTGTGCGGAGGGATGGAGACTCTGCCCCTGGCAGCGCCCCCACCTGGCTTCCCCAGGGGCTTTGTGCCAGAGGGGGCTGCTTCACTCAGGGACATAGGGTGGCCCCAAGAGGGCCCCGGCTGGGGCTCCTGGGTGACAGAGGTGGCAGCTGCATTTATAGACGAAGGGTAGAGCTGTTAATGTTTTCCAGCAAATGGACAGACTTGCTCAAGGTCACACGGACACAGCCGAGTTGGCATTCTCTGCCTGGTCTCATCTAGCCTGACATTGACCTTACTGGCTGTTACCTGCCTTCTGTGGAAGGACTAGTAGGGGTCACATGGCTGGTTCGTAGGGGACTGGGGTTTGAGCCCCTGGGTGGGTGCCCACAGGCCCTGCTCCCTGCCCACGGCCCCTCTTCCTCTGCCTACCCCCTTACCAGGTGCCTTTGCCTCCTTTTAATGGGGACGGGGGCCTGACGCCTGGTGCCCACCCTCCTGGCATGGCCACCCCAGCCAGTGCCTGTGTCCGCAGTGACCCAAGGAGCCTCTTCATTTCCCTGCGGTGGTCGGGGGCCGCCACCAGTGTGGGCTCGGAGTGTGAACCATTTGACTGAGGCCGGATGTCCCTGCCACCGCTGGGTGCCAGCCGGGCGTGCACTCTAGGGAAATGAGCCACCTGTGCTGGCTCTCAGATGCCAGGCTGACCCAGAGCTCCTGGGCTGGGGGTGGGGGGACTCCAGGAAGAGGCAGGATGGAGACCCACTCTCTTCACAAGCTTGTGTCTTTGTTTCCATGAAGCCGCCGCGGGCGTGGTACCTGCACATGGTCTGTCAGGCCGACACGGGAAATAGCAAGAGCCACATTATGTGGCTGCAGCCCGAGCACCAGGCATTGTGCCACGTCTTCAGAGCCTCACTGCAGCCTCCGAAGGTCCATGTGCTACTCCCCTTTTGCAGACGGGGAGACCGAAGCATGGGTGGGTGAAGTAACTACACCAGCAGGACATGGTCCCGTGTCCACCCGCCAGACCTTTGCTCTTAAGTGCCGCAGCGGCGCCTGGGAGCGCACACAGCCCTGGGGTCAGGTGGGTTCGGGTTCCCGACCCGTCTTAGTGCCCCTTCCCCGCGCCTTGGCCCCCACGCCCACCCTGAGGCTTGGCACTTCTCGGGGAGCTGAGGATCACATGACACGTTCCCTACAGACTGAGGCGCTGGGTGAATAAGTGCCTGTTATCCACTCCTGCCTCCCACCTCTGTCCTGGTTTCCTGTGCCCAGGCGCCACCGAGCGTCTGTCACCGCGTCAGCCGCTCCCACCGGTTACCTGGAGCCATACGGGCCTGTGAGGGAGGCAGTGTTCTAGCCATTTCCCAGATGAGGAAACAGCCCCCGGGAAGGAAGACCCACTCAGTATGGGGCAGGGACAGAACTCTGCCTGGTGACCATACCAGCACCCCGTGGTCCCTTTGGCCTGGTCCCTTGCAGGAACCCAGCAGCTTCTGGGTGGGAACCATCCAGGGAGGGGACGGATGAGGCACGGCCGTCCCTGTGGCTCCAAGCACAAGCGGCCCACCTCCACTCTCGGGGTGCCGGCAGCCTCCCTGGAAGGTGGAACGGGGGCCACACAACCCCTAGGTGTCCGGCATACATCGGAATTCTGCCCAAGGGCTCTGCCATGTCCTTCCTCCAGGCCCCATGAGCCCAGGCAGTCACGCTCAGTCCCTGGAGCACTCAGCACAAGGGGCTGGGGCAGGGCGAGGGAGCTGAGGTCCTGTCCGGTGCCCACTCCAAGGTGCGCGTGGAGGCAGGCATCTGGAGCAGAGTGGGGCTCAGAGAGGCACGTGCCTGGGATGTTCACACAGCCAGTAAGAGGCAGAGCCAGGGTCGGCAGCCGGGCTGGGCAGATCCGAGCCCTAGGAGGGTCGTACGGAGTCCTAGAGCCCAACCTTCTATCCGGGTTAAAATTGAGAACGCCACTGACACTGTGGTTCTGGTGTTTGCTCTCGTGCACTGAGCAGATTCCTGACATGTTTGTCTCATTTACCGCCCTCACCGAGGGTGGCTATGGCCGCTTCAGAGGCAGGGAAGCGGAGAGGAGTCAGAGCCCGCCGCCTGGCCCCTGCCCCGCGCCCCCCCCACCCCCGGGCTGGGCTGGGCCCATAGAGGCACGGGAACAGGACCACCCCCTTCCCCATTCCAGCCCTTTCTCCTCCTGGCAAGAGCTTCCTGAGGCTTCCTCCCCGGGCTCAACGTCCTCGTTCCTTCATCTGCTCCCGTGGGACACGGTTTCTGCTTCTTCCTCCACCCCGTGGCCTCTCCAGGGGCCACACCATCTGCTCGATCTACTTTTGCCTTTGAAACGTCTCTCAGAGGAGTGACTGATAAGGCTGAGGTCCCTGGGAACTGGCCTGAGGCTCCCCTGCCCAGGGACCCTCTCCCGGGCTGTCTATGAACCAGGCTGGCTGGGGCCACCCGTCCGCCAGACCTTCCCAGGGGCGGAGGTCCTGCCCATTGCGTCCCCCACTGAGCTAGGTTTCCAGCTGCCCAATTTTGTCCTGGAGGAGGCGGCATAGGCAGGAAAGAAAGAGAAGGAAAATGCTGGGAGAGGGGGTGGGAGGCGGTTGGGGGGTACAGAGCAGTAAGGGGAACCATGCAAATCTGTAGAAAGATTGGAGGGTCAGGTGGAGGGGAAGAGCTGAGGCAGCCCCCCAGTCACTGGTGTCAGGCCTCTCTTCGGGGAGGCCCCTGTGCTCCATCCCCGCTCCAGACACCAGGGTCGGGGGAGGAGGAGGTTCAGGGAGCTCTTTCCAACCCAAAGCAAATGTGGCCAGTTTCTTTCTGTGAGCCCTGGGGGAAGCAGATGCAAGGCAAATGGGCAGCTTTTCCTGACCCCTGTGTCCTTGTCCCCTCTCCTCCACGTCCTTTGCATAAACCTGTCATGGTCTCTGCCACCCTGGCCACCGATGGCCACGCAGGTGTGAACGTGGGGACTTGGACCTGGACTGGGCCATGAGGGCTTCAGTCGTGCTGGGCCCTGGCCACCTCGGAGTGTGTGCACCCCGAATGAGAGTGCCTGTGGTGCAGGGTCCCCGAGCACCTGTCCTCAGGGCGGCCAGCACCCCAGCCTCACCCACTTGCCCGTCTGTATGCATCCATGTCCAGGGCTTTCATCAGAATCTCAGAGGGATTCTCGCCCCTGAAATGCTAAGAAGCCCTGAGTCCATTTTACAGGGAGGGAGACTGTAGCCCAAAGAGTGGCAGTGACTTGCCTAGGGGTAGTTGGGCAGAGCGGGCCCGGAAGCCAAGACTCCTGACTCTCTGTCCAGTGCTCCTTCTTCAGACTTCGGCCTTCAGAGAGATCATCCCTGTCAAGGGGGCCCCTTATTCCTTTCTCATTAGAGCCCCTCAGGTGCCACCATCCCCTGCAGCCCCCACCAGGATCTCGGATTTCTCCAGTCCACATATTCACTGTGTGGCTTTGGATAAGTTACTGTCCCTCTCTGAACCTCATCCTCCTTATCTGCCAAGTGGAGACCTAACAGTAGCACATTGGAAGCATGACGGAGATGGGGAGGGCTCCACTCAGTGCTCGGCCCATCGTAAGCCTGCAGAACATGTTAGCAAAGGAGGTGACTGTGCGCATCGCCACCACTGTCCTCCCAGGCCATGTGGCACAGACCCTGCCTCCCCTGCAGAACCCATATCCCTGTGTGTCCTCGCTCTGTCCCTTGGACCCTACCCAGCCCTGCCACATGGCGGGCTCCCCAGTGTTGGTCGGGTGAATGGCCTGCACCCAGGAATGCTTTCTTTCTCTACCATCTCCTTACCCACCCCATCCCCCGGCCTGGCTGATTTTGCTGGAAGTCTCCAGAATGTTCCAGAGTCTTTCAGCAACCAGCATCTTGGTTGTCCCTCCTCAGAACTGCCGTGTGTAGTCATTGTGCCCTGGAATGACTGATCCTTCTCCAGTGCCAGCCTGGGTCTAAATCCTATTCGCTGTGTGACTCTCGGCAAGTTCATTAAACTTTCAGCCTCAGTTTCCTTGTTTGTTGGTTTGTTTTAAGATTTTATTTATTTATTTGAGAGAGAAAGAGAGCATGTGTAGGGAGAGGGGCAGAGGGAGAGAGAGAAGCCGACTTCCCACTAAGCAGGGAACTTGACATGAGGCTCCATCGCGGGACCCTGGGATTGTGACCTGAGCCAAAGGCAGA